GTGAGGGATCCATAAATCAAGTTTCTTGACATAACCAAGGGTTTTTCATTTTTTTTCAATGCATGTATGCGACAGATTGAGCAGCTTCTCTGCAATATCTCGTGTTGTGCTGTGACGATTTGAATCGATAATGGCCTTGATATGGGTTTCATCCACTTCGACTGGGCGGCCAGATCGTTGTGAATTTTTCAGTGAAAAATCACCGGAACGAAATCTTTCAAACCAATTTCGACACTGCCTTTCTTTTAAGGCTTCATCTCCATATACGGAACATAACTTCTTTTGTGCTTGCGATGCGTTCTTGCCTTTTCGGAAGTAATACAATAAAATGTGTCGGAAGTGCACGTCCTGTTCTTTCATTTTTAAATTGGGATAAAAACAAAACTAAAGAACTAAACAAAAACAATTTTTTACCAATTAACCTAGAAGCCCATACAGTAAGAAAAAAATATAGGTTAGATGCTCTGGCCACGTTAACAAAACAAAAGAAAGTATAGAGTGAACCTGTCAACGAAAACGGCAATGACTTAGTTGCCAACCCAATAGAACGAAAAGAGGTTCAAGGTTCAGCCAAGGCAGTGCCATCGGTAGCATCATTTTTTTTTATTTTCTCTTTCTGATATGCACAATTATACTGAGACAGTGTCATTTGAATTAATTCCACTGGTCAAATAGTCTACTCAAAACATTTAAATAGAAACTATGCTAATCAAAAGGGGGTGTGCGATAGACTTACCTCCACGTGGTGATGCATTTGCTGTTCAACCAATCATCTCCTCTTACATCGACTTATGAATTCCAATGATTTGTTCTTTCAACCAGCAGTCCATCACAATATGATCAAACACAGTTTGTTGCGGATTGCTACCTTAGTAAAGCCTGACCGACTCAGAAATCTCTATGGCAGATTCTCCAACATCTAGCTAGACTTCCAGAACCAGATAAGCTATAGCCCAGCTATAAAGAAAACAGACGTGTAGCACGGAGCACGTTTATTCAGTGGGTATATCGCGAATAAAGTGTACACGCAGGGAGCTTAATCATGATCAGGATGGCGGATTAGGTTAAACAAACAGAGGTTAATGATTGGTCACTGTTTGTACGGTCGCACCTCCCAATCATGGCTTGCAGGCATGCGATGACGTGTCCCACAAGTTTCAGGGGTTCAAATGGTTTCCAAAATGATGATTGGATGAAGTGTAAGGGTGTATGAAAAAAATGCACTATTCGTGTCCCATAATGCAGTTAATGCTTGCCTATTAGATAGATTGCTTAACCATGACGATTTATGTTGTCAGATCCACTAAATTCCCGAAATTATTACGAAGTTAAACTAATGATGGGGGGTAACTAGCAGGTTGCCATTTTAACATAACTGCGATGAGACATTTCTAATGCACCGATTGAAGCACCCTCTATGGTTTTACAAACCGACTTCAACTGATTTGTCTTATGATATTTGGTCCGAGATCAGAAATTTACGCAGATAAACCAGAGGATAACAGATCAACCTTATCAATAAGCGAGCACATGCCACTCTCAAATGATTGGCAATTATTTGGGACAAAAGTGTTGTCAGTTGTCAACAGGCAGTTGACTTCGCACTTCAAACTACGATCACCCCCACTGTATGTCATATTCGACCCCTACCACAGTACTCATCTTACCCTTTCTGAGCCTGTGTCTGTCTGTTTCCTTTACATCTGCGAATCACTCTTCTGTTCCCCCTCCCGAACTCTTCTCACTTTAATGTTTCTCCTCCCCTCTGTGAAGCCCGAAGTCAACTAAAGGGCTAATGATAACTTTCAAAACGCCTGCCATTTGTTATAAATAAATAAATATTCAACAGAAATTCATCGTTAATAGCTTTTAAACACTCGAAAACACTGGAGCTAAGTTAGATCTAGTTACTAAATGGTTAGTAATGGGGTTTTAGTGTGCTTCCCAGATCTGCTAATAAAAAACCGTCATAATTCCACGCAAAANGCATCACCCCACTGTATGTCATATTCGACTANTTTAACATAACTGCGATGAGACATTTCTAATGCACCGATTGAAGCACCCTCTATGGTTTTACAAACCGACTTCAACTGATTTGTCTTATGATATTTGGTCCGAGATCAGAAATTTACGCAGATAAACCAGAGGATAACAGATCAACCTTATCAATAAGCGAGCACATGCCACTCTCAAATGATTGGCAATTATTTGGGACAAAAGTGTTGTCAGTTGTCAACAGGCAGTTGACTTCGCACTTCAAACTACGATCACCCCCACTGTATGTCATATTCGACCCCTACCACAGTACTCATCTTACCCTTTCTGAGCCTGTGTCTGTCTGTTTCCTTTACATCTGCGAATCACTCTTCTGTTCCCCCTCCCGAACTCTTCTCACTTTAATGTTTCTCCTCCCCTCTGTGAAGCCCGAAGTCAACTAAAGGGCTAATGATAGACTATCAAAGCGCCTGCCATTTGAAATAAATAAATATTATTTTTCCAAACGCCTGCCATTTGTTATAAATAAATAAATATTCAACAGAAATTCATCGTTAATAGCTTTTAAACACTCGAAAACACTGGAGCTAAGTTAGATCTAGTTACTAAATGGTTAGTAATGGGGTTTTAGTGTGCTTCCCAGATCTGCTAATAAAAAACCGTCATAATTCCACGCAAAAAATGTTTAAAAAAACAGATTGAAAAATTTTAGAGAAGTGCATAAGTTAATTGAGAATAATAATAAAGGGAAATATGAGAATGGAAGCGCGCATATCATAAATTTGAGCATAGGTTGTCAAAACATCGATGACCTCTTTGGCGAACTGGTAGGTCTTGGAGGAACTGAGCCAGACGAAGATCTATGGCTGCTAGGATCCTTACGCACAGATCCATTGCTGTCTTTATCTCGTTTCTCTGTGGCCCCCTCTTCCACGGTGGTATGTCGCTCTTTTGGAGAAGCATTTGTCGACTTTTCCTCCTCCTCGTCTTCCTCGGGATCAAATTCTAGCTTTTCTTTCTTGTGAGTTTTCGAAACATTTGACATTCTATGTTCCTCCTTCTTCACGTTTCCGTCCGGAGATGATTTACGAGATGATTTCTCTGGGGAAGATTGCGTGGGTATTCTTTCTGATTCCGGGGTAATATTTACTTCTGATTCTTCAGTTTCATTTTGCTGATCAGCAGAGTCCTTGTTCATTTTCAAGTTCTCACTATTTTCACAAGAAGATGAAGGAGGATATACAGATGCTTCCTTTTCGGTGGAAACCTCTGGCTGTTCAATGGAAATGGGCGTTGGAGATGTTTTCCGGGGCACTTGGACTGGGTCCACGTCAGATTTAGAGCGCTGTTCATTGTTGCTGAAGCTTGTCATCATTTGAGGAGCTGAGTTTCTGGGAGCTACTACTGCTGCCGGAGGAATGGAAGTCTCGTTAATAGACTGTTGGGACCTGTAACTCATTGTTTGAGGTGGAGTTTTTGGACGAGGTGGTGCATTCCTTTTGCTGAAAATGAAATTGACTGTCTACTTATTTTAAATAGTAGAAATCTAAAAGCACACTGTCAATTCAGGATCAATAATTAATTCACTATTCGAATAGGCAAAATATAATACTGCCAATAACCTCTTCCAAAGTCATCAAAATGAACAGCCTAAAACATACAGTGACAGAATAAATTGTGTCGCATAACTGGCTCAGTATGATTGCAAGCTACAAATTAAGTACTCTTCTCGAAACTAAGTGAAATTCAAATAATAGAGCCGAGATAGTAAAGAAGGCAAACCAATTAATAGTTCCAAGAACTTTCATGGGTGCGCACATCTCGTGCGCAAACCACGTAGTGATGCTATTCAGATGCGTTACGTAGACACACCGAAGCATTTCGATCCTGGTGAAATTGACGTAAATAATATCAGTAAACAAAGTCCTTTTACATGAATCAGCCTTATAAGGTAGAAACAAATAAAGAGTTAATTAACCGAAGTTGGTAATGAATCATTTCCAATGCGATTGTGCTTCAAAACTAGTTTATTACATAAGAAACCGGAGGTAAACAATAGAAAGTAAACAGAATGTAAGTTGTAAAATATTGACTTTGAAATATTATACTTAAATCTTGATGATACGTAACCGGTCAGCCACCAAGCACGTTTTTTTAACCGAAATAAGTCAAACTAGCAAGCCAATAAGGATAACGTGGCCGTAGAGTGGACCAACGAGATATTTGAGCTCCAGATAAGCTAAACCATACGCCCGAAATCCCGAGGGGAGTTTAGTAGTCGTTGAGGCAAGATGATTCCCCCCCCCCCTCCTCTAGCCCTCACATCCTTCTGTATCCATCTTTCTACCATTCATGCTTCCATACAACTTTATATCCTTTAATTAATATTCATTTAGGCCACAATTCCTACGGGAGTTAAATCGGTTTCGATAATTAACGACCTAACTTTACACAGCAGTTCTTGAATCCCTGAGTCGTGTATTTCCCAGATATCTAACTTATAACCCACGCAGACAATATGGAACGTCCACTATACCTATAGCATTGAAATGACATGCATATTTACTAAAACAGTGCACGAACTAGCTTCCGTGTGTAAGCTTCTAAACGTCAATAATTTGGGTACCGATAGAAAAGCCCCATGCCATGCAACTATTGACAAGTAGGAAACACTAGTCGACTAATTCTGTTCATTTGAACAGGGTGCAATGACATGTAATTCTCAATTTATGGCTGACGTTTCCCCACCCCAATCTTTTTCACAACCATTAGCCATTATGTAAGCAAAACATCAACCCGATTGAGTATCTTATTCCCAAATTGGCTTAAGTCAGTGTGATTATATAGGGTAAATATCTGGACTGGAAAGGATTATTGTGATTGGATGATTTAATCATTGCTGCTATTTTTAGTGAAAATGAATCCGAGCTATTATCACCTGGTCACTGCGTGATTGTGAGGACGGGTGGCATTACCCCCCCCCCTCCCCCTCCCCCCAATCTTGTAAATGTCTTAGCCTCAAACACCAACTGGCTCAAACCCAAAGAAAAAATTGTATCATCGACAATTCACCATATAACAGTCCTTAAATTAGGCCCTGAAAGAGTTTTTAAGATAGTGTTAATAAAGCTTTCAAGGGCAAGGTGGGACGAATGACTGGAGCACTAAAAACTTCCTCATTAGCCAACAATTTTGGTGAAAATAAGCAGATGCTCTAAAAGAAATGCAGAAAATTTGCTCAATGAAACCTCCCTAGGGGCACTCTAGCTCCATTACTTGTTCACTAGTCAGCCAATCGCCCTCTTAAAATAGTACTTAATACGTTGCACTCCCACAATAATTAAGTTAGGCTAACGAGTGCTCGTAATATGACAGTGACAAGTTGTGTGCTGTTACAACAGTCGCCTATGCATTTTTCTTTGTCTCTGATGCGAATATGAGCTGATCGTTTGCGCGCGCGCGCGTGTGTGTGTGTGTGCAGCAGATAGACTCCACATGTATCAATAAATAAGATATTAAGGTACTTTAAGAACATAATTAAAGACATACCCAACACGAGGAGTAGCAGGCGTAGCTGGAGAAAAAAGCGTCGCTTCCTCTAAAACGACACACAAAGTGAAGATGACTTCTCTTCCCATCTTTGTTTTAAAAAAATTATTTCCACATACATGAACTTAGGGCGTAAAATACCCAATCATTCATTTGAACTTACTTTCACCCTCAATGAGAGACTTTGCATTGTTAATGAGGCATTGGACCACAAATGGAACATTTTTTGCATCCCTATAGCAAAAGAAAAGAATATAATAATTTTAACGCCGAAAAAAAATAGGAGATTTATAATTCCGGACTGCCAAAATAACTCACCCCTTACTGCGGAAACTCATCCACAATGTGACAGCGAGATTTTCTGAGGTCATTTTTGAGGTGGATTGATGCTCCACGACTTTGGAAAGAAAGGTAAGAAGGAGAAAGAGATTTCGTCGTCTTGGCTCAGGAACGTACTCCTTTACAAGGGATTTGATGGTTTCTACGCTGGGGCTAAAGGAAATATAAGTTCAATTAACACCTCGAAACTTTTCGACTTTTCACCTATGACCAATCTCTTTACCCCAGCCTTTGAATACGCCTCGCAAAACCCAACCTGATTGATGTGCATGCCAGTTAATGTGGCCAAACTTGAGATACATACGTGAAATAAAAGTAGCATTCCTCCATTCTTCCTAAGTCGAGTTTGAATATGCTATTCCTGATCTTATTCTTAACGCTGATTTCTTTCATCTTGCTTGACGATGAGAACTGTTAGGGTGGTAATTACACTTATACCATAGAAATGATTTTGAGGTTACTACATACAGCCCCCCCCCCCCCACTCTGGAATTCATTGAAAGGTGACCACTCATGGAGAGTTAGTTGTGCGTCCATATGAAGACTGACTGAATGAGAGCAGTTACGGAGCAACTCGTCTTGTCTAAGTACAGCATATGGATAACCGGCTGCTGTTTGAGGCCATACGAGAGAGATATGCCCTCAACACCAATGTTACTAATTGAGTTGAAATTAGATGCAGACTTCATTACAATTAGTCCATAAACAGAACAAAAAAACGGACAATATACGCATTAGCAACCATCAACCGAATGAGAGCAAGAAGTTTTGCTGCTTTCACACCGTACCAATGGCAGGTGAAAGCAAAACAATTTTTTCTTACGTGGATCATAGTAATACCGAATTACGACTTATCATTTTGAACTTACTCATTTCTTGCATTACTAACAAGCACATCGTTGACTGAATTCGTGAACCGAAATTTCACCCCCAGAGGGATAAGCGAACACCCTCCTACATTGTACACCGGCATTCCAATCTCTCTCCTCATGCTTCGAAATGCGATAAAGCCCAACCCATACCATTCACTTTTTCCTCTGAGTTGGGCGAATTTTCTTCGTAGGAAGTTAAATCAACTCAAATACTGCTAGACACTCCACCAGCCACTAATACAAGCTAATCCTTTAATTTTGACCAATTCTTCACGCAACTGCGCTGACAAATGCAAACCTTTCGCTCTTGAGAGCTAATACTTGCAACTTTATCAGGCAGGTCTCTTTTGTTTGACTAACTTGAGGGCTTATTAGAAGGCTCTTATGAACAAAGCTGGGCCTATCATAACTTTATTGGTTTCAACGTCGAAATATCCTAATTTCACCAATCACTTCCATTACCTCAGTGAATGCTATATTCTTCAAATCGTATTTGGCATTAATAGTTGCAATGTTACCACATTGCCTCGCACTCATCTCTATGACTTAAAATGAGCGGGTCTTGCCAAAATTTGTCTCCGACCAGGAGCATTAGATGAAAGAGCACAATAGCGGTTAGGGCGATTATTAAAAGCACCGCTACAATGTCTTGGCCATTGATACACAAAAAAACCTTGATAGATCAATCAAATTGATTGTCATATAACAGTTAAGATGGTGTCCACATGTTAGATTTTAACTGCGCTATCAATTTTATACACGCGTTTACCTTCCAAGTCAGAATGGTCTGGCAACTTTAAACCCAATGCGAAATTTCGCTTTGACAATCATCACTTCTACAGCCTTTGTCCATTCGCCTTAAAACCTACGCTCCAATTTAAGACTATTAAATTCTAATTTAATTAAGCTAATAAAGACAGAGATCATAACCTTAGTTGGATTTAGGCAGAATTCGTGATTTTAAAGACTGAAAAACCTAAAAAATTACCTAACACAAATTGTAAATGTTAAATGAGCTTTTATCTACCCCTCTATCCAAGTAGTATATATGACATAATATTTGTGAAGATAGTGTTAATAAGACTGGCCTAGAGCAGAAAACTCACTTCCCATTTACTTACCTAGCGACTCAACACCACCATCATTTGTTTTATTAAATACAGAAGGTAGTTGGTAGTTTGAAATGCACTAACCAATGAAAAATCTTCATTCAAAAGATTTCAACCATGCAGCAGTTTCATTAACTAGTTCACTCTAATGTTTCCTTAATTAATACCGACAATACTGCTTACATAACAATAAACACCGCGGCGCTAGTAATAAAAGAACTTATTCATCAAATTACCATTAGATAGTTAAGGTGATTTATGTAGGAAATAATAAATTGATAATCTTGCACATAACGTTTGCTAATATAAACATTTTCAGGGCTAAACAAGCTTTAGCATTTTGCGGGACATGTGTAAAAAGAAATCACCTAACCATTCAAACTATGGTATATAAGAGGGCATTTTCTATAGGTTGGCATAAATCCGGCCCTAACTGAAAATTTTCAACAAGATGATTTCTTACTTAAAAGTACCTTCAGAATGATGTAAAAGCATCAATGCATGTGGCTTGAGCAAATTGGTTTGGATGTTGGTAGGGGAGGGGTGGGGGGTGGGGTGGGGGGTTGGTGGGGAGGGGGGGAGTGAAATTATGGTAAGTTAAGGCATTTGATCTTGAAAAAGTGAACTGTTCAGTAATATTGGGGAAGTAATCATGCTTCGTATCTAAATGACGCGATTTAATGAGAAAATGGTTAGAAATCAGCTCCATAATGTAAGTTCGCAACGATTCGTAGTTTGTGTAAGTTCAGGTAACTCAGAGGTAAGGACGTGAGTAGCATATGAAAACGTGTGCTGTTGGACTAACGACGTATTCCGTTTGGAATAAAGACTAGAATTGTGGTTCCAAGTGTTAATTACCTAGTTGCTATAAGATATTCAATAATAAGCCACTTAAAAGGTTAGTTCAGAGACTAGTACAAATTCCCAACTGCACTGGAATTTACTAAAGGGACTGGATACAAGCTTGCTGAGGCTTGAAGACCCCCGGCACTAAAGTCAAAATGAAAAGAAGGATAAATAGAGGCCCTAATTAAAAGATATGGCTAAATTTTTACCTAACTACTGTAACTCCATAAAAGATTCTAATTCAATAGAAAGATTGCCTTTAGAAATGATATCGTTATTTGACTTCCTCAAAAGAGACGCCATTTCGTCTGGAGTAAGCAACCAGAGATATTATGGGTTAGAAGCTTCAAATTTGGCTGATTTGAAGAAGCTACTCTTCATTCGCCTTAAGGCAAAAAGCCTGCTCCAAGCCCGTTTTTTTCATTTTTCTCAAGCTACGTCCACGAATATGACAACAACTGATGGACAGTGCCTCAAAGGAGAGAGAATAAAACAGTAAAAAGGGGATAGCCAACCAGTTCGTTCAATCACATCGTCATTAATTTCTGAATGTCACTAGCATAAGACCACTCAGTTGATAGATCTGGGATTCAATAAAAGCATGCTTATAGCAATATCACTCTCTCACCTCTTCCTAGATAAGTATTCTAATTAATTCGCCTTCCTTACATAATTGGAGTTCTCGGTTGGTCTAGCGCAGGTGGATGATACGAATAAAATTGGATAAAAATTTAAATTTATAGAGACTTACACTTCAGAAGGCCAGTTTTTTAGTAAGTCAATGGTAAGAATGGGATCCGGTAAGTCACGTAAGAATTGTTTCATAACATCAGCTACTTCGAAGACTGTGCAGTGCTCAAAGAGCTTTTCATCTGCCAAGTTTTGCTCGAAGGCATCCTACAAAACAAATTGAAGGCGCACCAGGGAGTGAGTGATTGAGTGAGGAGATGGACAAAAAATCGCCGATTTATGAGCGATAACTTCATGTTATTCTTTTTCAAATGTGTTTTCCACCCCCCCACCCCTCTCCCCCCCCCTCCACCACGTTTTAAGAACAGTTTTCATTGAAGGATCTTGAGTTAATTAATCGAGGTGACCAAAGGCAATGGCAAGATCCTCATGACCAACTAGAAGAAAAATACGTCAAATTGCCAAGAAAACCCCTTAGCTAAATCAACTTGACCATAAGCTCAGAGCGTAAATCGAAATTCGCCAAAGTAATTTGACTTGGAAATTTGAACTCCATGATGCCATATTTGCAGTGTCCAGACACATCCGTTTTCTAGTAAGTTAACTTTTGGCCTTTGTGTTTGTTTACGCACAGTTGCAATCTGATCACAATATGCCAAGATGTGATCTAATAAAGATATGCGTGCGCTCTCTCTCTCTCTCAATCTCTCCCTCCCTCTCTGGAATCTTTTACGAGAACTTGGCGCAAATAAAAATTACTCATCATGAGCTCAAAATTTCAACTTTTCTCTCTCCTTTATGCCTTATTGGAATATTTGACAGTCTCTAATATTACGACGCTTATCTACTATTAAATATTTTCAATTTCGCTTTGCTACTGAAGGTACCAATGCATGAAACTAAGCTAACTAAAAGGTATTCATTTTAGCGGCATGAATGGAGACAAGGCTTGTGCGCCAAAGTACCAAAGTTATCAACAAAATGGATAGTTGTTTCAATTATGTGCCGACGCAAAATTTTGTCGTGGTGATTAGCACGGAAATTAACAACTACTAAAGCTCTTAGCCTACGAATCACAAGAGTAATTTATTTTTAGATTTCATTTAAGTTAAATGACTGAATTAAGGTTCAAATATATGTCAACTTAGGCAACCTAATTAGAAGTAATCAAAATGGTGTTGGATAGGAATGACCTTGAAACTGTTAAAGCAAAGAATTACGTAATCTTCATTGTATTTCGACTGAATTAAACCGTGGATATAATTTGGCTAGTGAAGAGTAGACCAAGCGCATCTAATCAATTACGTGCGTTCAGTTTTAATCAATATACAATGTTCCTAAAATTAACTGGTTCATATAGGACGAGACAAAGTACTTGATGAAGATGTCAGGAGGTTGATGGCTTACTTGTCAGACACATGGATTCTGAAATTGCTCTGTCTGGGGAATTGGGGTTTTTTTAAAAAAATTTCCAATATAATACAATTTCAATGGAATAAAGAATTAAAAAACACGCAACAGAAGATAGGTTCTTAAATGGTAGCTGTATAAAAGTCGACACTGACGTCACTATGATAGATGCGACAACCAAATATTTGTAAAGTGATCGATTTCCGAGGTCAAATTCTTCTGTTGCTTTCAATTAATCAAACGACACTTTAATAAATCATCCATATTATGAAAGAATCAGTGGATATAAACATTTTGGCATGACAATCAAAATCTGGTGCTAATTTCATACCAACATGAATCCTGAGGATTTAAGGATTGAGCTCTTTCAATTTCGATTACTCAACATGGATCGCAGGAATGGGAAATAGCAGATCATTTACCTTATACTAAAGTAAAATCTTCGAAATGATCAGATAACAAACAAATCCATATTGAATACTTACTCTGCTCTTCTTGCGTTAATTATTAAAAAGCTGGCTAAGCTTAATGCCACCTCAATAGGTGAGCAAACACGTGATGAGGCCAGTTGAATGTTAACTCTTTAAAATTTAGGTCTTAAGATAAAATTACTCACTCACACGAATGCACACGCACAAGCACACACACACACACACACAAACTTGAAATGAAGACAATAGACTGCGAGCATACAAGTCCACAGCACTGCGTCTAACTGAAACGCAGGAAAGAAAGTACGCGAAACTGGAGAAAATGGGTTAAAGATTCTTAAGTATTTTACCCTGAATCCTCTTTCTTCCAATGCATCAAGTACGAAGTGGAATTAGGGGCCTATAGGCAAAAATAGGGCAAATCAATCAGAATCTGACTAAAACACCTAAATACCATGAAGGGCAAATTGTAAATCCCAACCTCAAGGAAATTCTAGTTGACAATTATAAGAGAATGGGATTATTGTTCCTCAGACGCAACAATTGTAACGCACTTCAAGAGTACGAATCTCGGTTGACTTAAATCTTACTATGGGCATGAATGATTATGGCCCGAAACGTATTGTAATGCTAGTCACAATTTTGTCATTAGATTCAATGCAAAGCTCTCAGTAAAAAAAACCTTTTAAATTAGCAAACTTCAAATAGTCTTCTGAACAGAGAAATCAAACAGCCCAAATAATATGTAACAAAACTGCCTACCCTTCAGTCTGAAATCGTTAATTCGGATGAACGTATGTTTACTGTTGTAATTTGTGAAAAGGTAGATTGATAAATTTACCGACAAATACCTACCTTCAACAAGTTGATACGACTGACTTGTCCTGGAACCCGGAAGATGCCCTTAAAAAGAAGAAAAAGTAATTCACCGAAAATGAGTCACAAAGGTGCTATAAATCGTGAGAACAACTGGTAAGCACAGTTAGCTTGCAAGTGTGCTAACCAATGAGAGGAGAAAACGTTGAGCCAATCAAGACATTGTTGCACGATTACTAGATATTCGGCCGTGCCACAGTTGCTTTAGTGGCCAATTAACGAAGGTGCTTAATCATGACGTGTTAATTTTTCATCTACTTTTATTTTAAGTCTAAAATACTGAGAGGCATGATTTTGTAATATCCAAACACGCAGTTCATGCGTGCAAAAATTTTCATGCAGTGTTTTAAGCAGCTAGAGGTCAAATTTGCATGCCTAAACATGCTAATGACAAAGTTAGCCATATTGTAAATAATCAATAAAATTCACAGGCTGCGATAAAACCACTTCCAAAGCATATCAGGTTGATTGCATCTAGTCGTGTCCGATTTCGATTGAAGCCAACTATGGGATGATCTTGTGAATTGGAAACTTTAAAGGAGGGTCTTTTCATCTTTATTTTTTCGTCAAACGGAGTAACAGAAATGCATAAAAGTATGGCAAGATGTAGGTTACACCATAATTTGGTTTACGTGCCATAACTACACTAGTACTCTCTCTCCCTCTCTGTTGTGAAATTTAGGCGCAATATAACATTATTTAATCAACAAACACGAGGGCTAATGGGTGGGTCAGTGCATTTGTTAATACCAAATAAAACGTAAGTTTCAGTAATTGTCTCCAGGCTTTACGGATTTATGATTGATTCTAGGTATCGGTACGTTCTTTAGTTAAAATGACGGTTGTTCAAATCATTAAAGCACTGTAAGTTTAGATCGACTCAAAGGCGGTAAAACTCATCATCAAACGTTTTTAAATGCATCTTGGAGAAACTTGGAAAATAACGATGAATCCTCATACAGATCTCAAATTTAAATTAATAGCCAATGTTCTGTGCTTTTCTCGTCATAATATTAATGATTAAAAATGATTTATGAGGAAATCATACTTCAACCATCCATTGTAAATAAAAATGAAATCTGAGAAGCATACCTCCTGAGCAAAAGCCTTGGTTTTTGTAAGATAGTCAATAGCACTTCGCATGACTATTGAATAGCCGTCCGCGTTTAACTGACCTTCTAAGGGCGCTCCGAAGAACCGAGGAGAGGGAACTGAAGGATAAAACAAAGTGCTGCCAAGTGTTATCAAGAAAAGCATAATCTTTGGCTAATAAAAAATCAGTACATACTTGAGGGGGTTTGAGAGTTTGGATCGCTTCCTTCAAATTGAGAGGCACAATTATGCAGAAAAAAGGCTTGTTTCATCTGAAATTCCTTCGTTTTTTTACGATTTTCGAGCTCAGTGGAATGGAAACGACCCAGTAATTTATAAAGCTCATCCTACGTAAAAGATTAGAAAAAATCAAAACGGGATATGTACCCTCTGGTTAAGATACGCAATTTCTGAGGCTTTGTACACTTCGTTGCCACGTTGCCTATCCTTATCCTTCTGGATTTGAGCTTTCTGAAGGTCGTGCTTTGCCTTCATAATCTGATCACACTGGTTTTCCCAGTCTTTTAATAATCGAATAAAAGTTCCAACTTCATCAGCAAAGGCAAGTTGAATGTTTCCACAAAGTTGTTGTAAAGCAATAAGGTTATTTAAAGGACAGTTTTCTGAACCTTTTCTAAAGTAGATTTTTTTGAATTGGAATAAAACATCTTAGATCATACTTATCTATGAATGGAGAAATTTAAACTTACTCAACTTTTTCACGATAAGACAACTTGATGTACTAAAATGGACAAAATTTAGATAAATTTAAAGAAATAGGCAACCTTACACTCTGGTAGTTTTCAAGGAATTTTCGGTAGGAACGAAGAGGAGCACGAACAATGCTAATTTGATTAAGGAGATAATCAAAATATGGGATCAAATCCAATTTTTCAGTCGTCCTAGAAATAAGCCACAATAATCAATGAAATGTTCATTATCATGTGAGGTATACAACAGTAAAAATTCATGAAAACTAGAAAGTGCAATTTCATAAATTATGAAATATTAACAAATATGCCAAAAGGAACAAGGGTGGGCTAAATAGTTAAAAGCTTAGACTCACTTCCCACTTCTATTTATTTTCATTAGAGACATCATTATTGAGATTAATCAAAATGCCTGTCCAAAAATACCAATACGACTGTTTAGGATAAGGATAATCAATTCATGGGAGTAAACTACCAAAGCCTTGAAAAATACTTCAGTAAATCAATTAATAAAATGTTCTTTGTGACTCTCAGATTTTAAAGTTAACATATTTAGATTTTAGGAAGTTTATAAATTTTGCATAATTACATACATATTTTAAATTCTTGATCGACAATTGGAATGGGATGATTTTGCACTATAAGGATTAGCTAATTTTTACATACTGTTGATTATAAATATTTAAACTCATTAAAGTTTGTTGTTTTTCATTGAATCTTATGTTAGCATCAATGTCCGTAAACGGGACACAAGGTTAAAATATATACGAACGAAAAACTTAGTTCTTAATTATGGATCAAATTGAATTCAAAATTTTGTTGTAAATAAAATTGATCAAATAAAAAATTTGAAGAAATGAAAATTAAAAGATCGAAGACAAAGTTTTCTACATGCAAGGTTTTTTTTGAATAATATATTTAAAACCCTTTTTGAATAGGACAAAATTATATCTGAAAAAGAGCCTCGAAATAACCGCTTAAACGATCCATATTTGCAGTATTTCATTAAAGCAGACATTAACATATATGAGTTTACGCAGATTTTCTCATTAAACAACCTATGTGCCTTGACAGCCTGTCTTTCACGACCATGAAGCGAATTGTTAAGTGCGTAATTAGTTATGGTCTCGAACATGCCAGGTTTTTGGAAAACCAGCGTTAAATCTTTGGCACGAAAAGTTCTACTGAGAATCTGTGTTGTCTTGACTTTTTATTAGCAATTAATGTAAATTTTATCTAATTTACAATTGATTGCAGCAACATACAGAAAAAGCTAAGTAAAAATGTCGCCTTAATCAAGCTCGACAAGTATGGTTATTTGACCGGTGTCCACAAATGTCCCCGAAAACTGTGCAAGTGAGCAGGTTTTTCCATTATAATACTTCTAAAATTTATCGACGCTGTGATATTTAAAATTTTGGTATTAAACATTTCCCACGACTCTCGATTTGCCGTCATGCATTGGAATTTTGACAGAACAGCCAGAACTATATTAAGACTATTTTCAGTCCATGGCATCATGCCAAGCCAAATTAAAAACATTCATTATTGAGCTAGGACAGATTGTTTTTAATTACAATATCATCTTTAATAGACGCTTTTAGTGCCTCAAAGTGCGTAAACAGATGAAGATGTTCACTATCAAGTAGATATCATTGACTCTCTCTTCACTAGTTTTCGAACTAGTCTAAAGGAGGAAACCCATGCCGATATCGCATTTTCATTCTTGGTCTCCGATCTCTTTAATGCTGACGGTCTATACAGATTTCCATCAGTTTGGATAGTGAAGTCGACAACAAGTAATCTTGTCATAAAATCGCGTCTACTGTAGTTCCGTGATCGACCATTTATTGAATGAGAATATCCTATCTTTATCCTAATATCATCAGATGAATAACAGATGTAGGCACTCCCATTATTCAAGTTTGCGAAAAACGTCGTTATAATCTATAATAAATACCATGTTAACGTCTTGGCCAAAGATACAGTGAAAATCGCAGAAAAGAAGCCCCAACATCAGGCATTCTTTTAATTATGGAAACAAGGTAAACGCAAACAATTGGCATACTATTTTAATCGAAGATGAAAATAACTCAAAATCTCCTTTTTTATCCCCGATAGTTGTAAAACAGAAAGACCAAGTTAAATGATATTACTTTTATCGTTTTTAGATGACGTATTGAGTTTGGGCTTTGTTAGGGATTGATGTGATGCAATTATGCACTGCAGATTGAAATTCTACCCTCAATTATGTAGAGTAGATCCAAAAGCTCAATCTCGTAAAATGTCAACGTACTGCCGAAGTCTATTATTTGCCTCAATTCCATCCCTTGAATATTCTCTTATATAAGTTATTGTACCCACTTTTTATGAAGTTTCACAACCTATTTGTAAGAAGGATTCCTAAAGCCTAAAATTTGTCAAAATTTACGGTTCGAAAATACGAACAGTTCTAAAGATCGTAAACCAACATAGGCTATATGTATTATGAATGCATAAATTCACTTTTTAAATAGTCAAAACGATTTGAGTTTTGATAATGTTTATTTTATTTAAATCAAGCTTGCCAGATACAATTGATGGAGGCGAATTCATAACAAAAATATTTAGAAAGGGATGTGTAAAAGCAATTTCATAGCTTGTAAATATTTCTTGTCAATCGTTAATAAGAAGTGCTATTTTGTCAAACTTTTGCAAATGACGCTTTTATTGTTTTGAATTACGTTATTCGTCGCATACATTTGAACTTTACGTACTAATTTTTCTTAATGTCGATCCCAGACCGAAGAGCCGAATTAGAGAGAAAGAAAGCGAAATTAACCGCTTTACGTGAAGAACGGCTTAGAAAAGAGGAAATCCAACTTAAAAGTTCCGTGCAATCTGTTGGTTTTCCTCGTACTGAATGTACATACGTTGATGGAATTTTAAGAGAAATTGGAGTTATCGATAATATTGGAGTAAATGGGAAAAGTAATGATGAAAATATTATAAAATCGGTTAGTACAGTTACCCTTGACTCAAAGTAGGTGGTTACTTCATTACTAATTGCTTTTAGTCCCGATACAGTTAAAAAACGTTCTCCAAAGCTATCTCTGACAGGCATCATACAATGTAGCATTGATTCAAAGGAAGTTATAAGTTATTCAAAAGAGGTCCAAACAGAGCAGCTAGCCTGTAAATCACATTTCTTGGTCTATTTTAAATCTAGCTCCAACAATTGAACGTTGGAACGATGACGCCTCTCGGTCCTTTGCTGGATTGCAAAGCTATGAATGGGATGACGAAATTGGAGGTTAGTCATTTTATCACTTTTATATTTATTTTACTTATAATTTAGTCAATCCGTACGCCGAACTGGACGCCCACCTTCCTGATGTTTCAAAAATTATCGCGGGACTTGATCTCTCAAAATCTGTCAGATTTAATCGCCCTGATCCCGCCATTAAAAATGCTCAAATTCGCGAGTTTACAGAGGAGGAGAAACAGACAATAATGGAGGGTGAAAGTTTTCAAAATTTCTTCTTTCGAACTGCTCGAATTGTTCAAAGGGCGCTAGATGAACCGCACGATATATTTTTCGATTATAGTGGCGCAGAGCGTGAAAATGATGCGTAAGATATATTATATTTTTTGTTTCACTAGACCTACTAGTTTAGAGAGGTCGGTAGACACTTCTTTCAATCTGGTCGATTTGCATACTTATCAAATGCCTTAATCTTTGTGGAGATGTAGCTTTGTGGTATCGAATGTTGTCATCCCACTTCTGGTGTCTTAAACTACGAATTTAGTGATAGGCGTGGCCAACTACACTCGTTATTTTTTGCTGCAAATGTTGTCCACGTACTATTGATTCCAGGCTACCTTTCACTTATCCAAATCAAGTTTTGTGGACGCTTCGAAATATATGTACATCCGTACATCCGTAGCGCAAAAGGTTAACATGTTTGTCTGCGTATTTAAGGGCTACCAATTTGGTGTTTATCTTGCGAGTAAAGTGGAAACCTGTCCTGGTGAAGCCTTTTCTAAATTTGGTGGCAGCATTTGCTTAAGAGTAATTAATTAATCATTTGCCCTTCACTACAGGGAGGGCAAACGGCAACAAGTGAAGTATATCGGCGATTTCTTCGACAAGTTCTACTTGCCCAACGGTGGTCGATGCTCAATTGTGGCATTAGACTGGTCCTCCATATACCCCGAGCTTCTTTTGGCGGCTTATCAAAGTCGAGAAGGCAGCGTGGGATTAGCAGCATCGGGCAATGCTAACGTATCGGTTGAGAGCTCTTGTTGTTGTCTGTGGAATTTGAAACATCGTCAAAGTGCTCCGGAGTACACTTTCATTTATCAGGTGGATATTACTGCCGCTATTCTGACCGAATTCCATCCTTCAACAGTGATTGGCGGAACCAAAGGCGGACAGATTCTTCTTTGGGATACTAGGTTCGTGCTTACTTATTTCCCTGTGTCTGTTCTTGACGCTGCGAGAAGTTTGATTAACCCTATTCTCTATGGAGAAAGAAATCAATTGGGTCATGTTTTCGATTTGTATTTACAGCGTGTTTTGACAAAAAAGCTTTTCACCACCTTGCGGTTCAGTTTATAAATCCCATGTGACATCAATTAACTTAGACCATGTTTCCATCTGTTATGTACTAGGAACATGCAAAATCTTGGCCATATCTACGGAAATGTGGAATCGAGTGGGAGTGCATGGGAGGGGGAGAAATGTTCATTAGGAAACAGGAAGTATTTGAAAAAGAAACATGATCGATCACACCAATTTGTGAATTCAAGGTAGGGCTCTCTGTTAGAGTAATACCTAGAAGTGCAGCGCAAGTATATACTCTGGAATTCAACATCAAATGTTTAGATGCAGCTAACTGCTTGAATACTTCTGACAATGTACCACGATAGGTAAACACGTATACGATTTTTTTAATTGATTATCAATAAATTACCATGCCTTCTCCTCCTATCTTCCTGATTAGGACTAACTTCTCAGCTCTTTGTCAATTTTAAGTTCGTAACAAATCGTCATGTTTATTCAGGGCTCATCCTCATAATCTATGGCAACTGTTCACTTTAATCCCATTGTCTCCAGCGACCATTTCTTGCAATACATTATGGCAAGAACGATGAGATTGATGGAAGAATGAGGGATCCGGTCAACTCAAATTAATTAGAGAAATTTGTTGTTTTGGTTTTGAGATTGCTATAAGTGCTAAAGCGAATTCGAAATTACACGAATCAGTCATCTTTAATCGGTTTGATAATCATAGCCAGTGTGTTGACTATTGACCTCACGATGTGTGATTGCCTTACCCTTACCAATTGATCTATGAGTCCGTAGTGAGTTGTGGGGAGTGCATAAACTGAGATTATTTTTACTCGCAACTATATTTAGGGGGGGGGGGGAGACGACTGAGGTTATATGGGAAGGCATAAAACTTAACGGAGGTATGAGGCTGAAGACAGAGAGTGGGGAGGTGGTGAGCTGAGTTGGTTTGTAAGAAAGGCAAATGGCAAGAGAGGAGTAGGGAGTGGGTTGGGGTTGTTGGATGTAAGTGCTATTTTGTAGGAAGGTGGTTAGCGCCGAATCACCAAAGGAACCATGTCTGTGGAGGGAGGAGGAGTAATATGAGTAACTGGAGGAGTGTGTTTGAAGCTCCTTGTGGTAACAATGACCTAATTGGTTTGTTCGTTGTTCACGTTCATTAGGGCCTCAAGAACTAATCTTTGATGAGTATATGGTAGATGTTTGACACTCAACTAAAATTCCAAGTTATTGAGACTAATTTTGACAGGTGCTTATTTTAGATCAAATCGTCGAACACCAGTTCAGAAGACGCATCTCGCAGGCAGTGGGGCCGCTCACGTGGAAGCAATCTGTGGCCTCGGCGTTACGGGAAGTCGTTCAGCCAATCAACTGGTCAGTGTCTCGTCAGAAGGTCGTATGTGTTCCTGGTCGTTGGATATGCTTGGTGCTCCTGTTGAGACTATCGATCTGGGTCCTCCTGTTACAACTGGGACTGGTAGCATGACATCCGGTGGTGGGATTAAGAGATCTACGAATCCGATTACCCCCACCTGTTTGGCTTTTCTACCTGGAGTAGATTCTAGTCGATTCCTTATTGGATCGCAGGATGGAACTGTGTATGCAGGTTCAAGGAATGTGAAGTATGTGCCACACTTTATTTCATATGTTCCCATTGCGTATTTGAGTTAGTTTGGGTTGCATCTAAGGTGGTTACTACTATTTGTTCAATGGCTACTCTTCGTTCTTAAAGGGGAGTGGGCTAGTGTAGCGCGGGGAGGGGATGAACTCATTTGCTTATTTAATAATCTAAAAGAAACTAATAACAATAGCCTTGTCGTTGAATTGGCGCCTTCCCTAACGTTTATCCTTCGTTTTCACGTATGTTTAGTTTTCGCATCTTCACTGATTGATGTCTCCGAATTACGTTAAACATACTTAATGCTTTTTTCGAAGCTCACTTCTCTTTAGTCACTCATGATTGGATGTCAGTTAAAACTGTGGTTAACGAGCTCCGGGCAACATTTGCACAGGTGTGCTACTTAAAGTTCGTCTTGGGTCTCTTAAACCCCTACCCCCCACATCGCTCACTTGTGGTCTGGTAACAAAGACCTTAGATAACCTTAGATAACAAGAGTGCACGTGAGCACTGTGTCTCAACAGCCCCCTTGTTTGAAAATCGATAGTACAGTCGGGATACGGGGCCTTGTTCACTAGACTAGTTGGCCACCCTGTCTCTTCCATACTCTTACTATTGTTCTCTCTTCATATCGATTTGCCTCCCCTTCTTCTAGGTCCTATCAGCCTCTCCGCTGGCCTATATCTGCCTTTTCCCACAATTTCAATTTGTTCGAAGATGAGGTAGCAGAGACTCACTACCTCGTCTTTACATACGTGTATACTGAGAAGTGACCAGTAGACTTGTCTCGAATACCAGGACTAAATTAGTCTAAGTTAAACTAATGACCCTCCTATAATGTAACATAGACCAAGAGTTCTGCGCATTGAATTGACTGGGAGAATGTAGGAGTGAAATGTGTTGGAATGGAAACTCGGAAGTAGCGAAAGGATTGCACAAGTTTTTGGCGCTGCCGCCTAGTTTCTGAGCCCAGAGTATATTGAGGGTAAGCCTCCTAAAGCACACGACTATTTGAATTAGCGTTCTCAATTCCTCTTCCAAATTCTAACTTTGGATACACGTTGAGTTCGGAAATTTGATGATTCAAGGGTGGTGACGGATAAGTTGTCTTTTCCTTGAACAATTGTTACTTCTTTTGCGGCAGAGCTTATCCAATACGTGTGTCGAAGCTAAGTTGCCAATATCTGACTTGCTTCAAATTAGTAGTATTGAGCTCAAATGGAACACCTTGGTACTCCTTTTTGCCAAATTTTGTTGTCTTCACTATAGTTAACTAAAAGTTGACAATGTTTTGAACTCTCATCCATAAGGAACGCGGGCTTGATAGACTCCTTCGAGGGTCACAAGGCACCAGTGACAGGTGTAGCTGTACTAGCCAACGCAGAGACGGCTGGTTTAAGCTCTACTCTAGACGACGGTTCATTGGCTATTGTCGGAGAGTACCCCCTCTTTGTTTCCACTGGTATGGATTGCAGTGTACGTCTTTGGAGTGCCCGTGACTCCCCGGCCTATCCTCTGCTCGCTTTTGAGGATAGAAATGATTACTTTGTCGGCTGTGACGCCTCCCCTATTCACCCGGCCCTCTTTGCAACAACAGACCTTTCTGGATGCCTCGATCTATGGTCACTCAACAACGATCACGAGGTGACGATTGTATTGCGGTGTGTTGTAATATTTAAGTGGACCTAATTTCATGACATCATGTGCTCATTTTAGGTGCCTACAGCTTCAATTCAAATTGAGGGAGATGCTCTTCTGAATCGGTGTCGATTTCACAAGAAGGGTCATCACTTAGCAGTCGGTGGGGATGATGGAAGAATACGGCTCTTTGAGCTTAATGAGGTAATTCATTCATTCAGTGTTAGAATCTCATTAGTTTTTATAAATTGATCAAATAGAAGTTGGATGCACACAGGATGATAGAAAGGTAGGGGTAGTGGAAAATCAAGCTGGTTTTTCAGTTGGCTGGCAATGTTTTGCAGAATCGTCGACTAGTTCTGGATTATCCATTTTGAACGGCTGTAAATTGAACCATTTCGCTGATCCCGTGAGTAATTCAAGAATTATTTTGCTGCGAAGTTTTGAATTCGTTTTACCATTTTTAGAATTTTGCCACTCCGAAGGCGGATGAGTGGGTTGAGTTGAAACGACTGGCGAAGAAGTTGGCTACCAACGCAAAAGAGGAATTTGATGTACAAAACCAAAATCGAAAATTGAGGCACATGCGCTAAATACTCCCGTTGGTGATTGACAGAGGAATTCACCTTCTTCCATCCTTCCACCCTTCCTTCTGCCTTTTCTCACTCTTTCTCCGATTGTGTGTGTTGTCCGGATGAATTGAGGTGTCTGCATTTGTTACCCGAAGATAAATTTATTTATAATCCCATCGACCCACTTCTCCTTCCGCTCCTATCTGATTAGACATTGATGTTTGTGAGCAATTGTGGACTTGAAGGTTTAGCTCTCAGAGATTCGATGAGAGCGTTTGTTCTTTTTTTGTCTGCTTAGAACATAATATGCGGTCTGTGAAATCAAGGAATACCACTAAAAGGTACGAAGTGGGGGGGGGGTGTGGGAGGTGGGTGTGGCGTTTTCAGTGTAGGGTAAGCTGAGGGGAAGGAAGGGGTTGTGAAATTTAGAGATTCTGTCGTGAAAAAAAGGCCTTGATAGTGCTAAGTCCGAAAGGCATTCATTTCGAAACTGAAGGCCGCTCAAAAAAGGAACGTGTTTTTGTATTAAGAGTTAACTTTTCAAGAAGAGACGTGTTGTGTTCGTCTTCGGCCAAGAGCTTTTACACTTGCATATTTGAACTAACAAATGATACATAAAAATCCCAAGTTTTTAAGCGAAACTGGGAAATTGATTTCCATTTGTAAATAATAAGAATTGCTTATGTAGCTGCAAATATCGAAACATTTAATTATAGAAACGCTAGGCATAAATCGAGCAAATTTGGATTTAATTAGCTTTGACTTACTTGCTCGGTCAACTGTAAGTTGAGTAAACGCCCATAAGCATTTTAGAAGCCGTGGATCGTGTGCCTTTGACATTTGAAGCAGAAGTCTCCAACTGTAGTCATTTTGATTCCTAGAGAACAAGAAGTACGCATTTGAGCACTTCTAGATTTACAGGTAATTAAAAAATGAGGTGGAATTGTTCTCTCTTTTCTTCGATGTGATTCAGCTGGAATGAGGAAACATAGCTACTTCCAAAGGTGAGGTAGTGAAGATGGGGAATGGCCATGCAGTCAGTGTAGTGAAGAGAAGGTGATTTGATTAAGAATTAATTTTTTTGAAGTTAAAGGAAAGTATAGGTGAATGTCACTGTGGAAAGGTGTTCAGCCAACTGGGTGTGGATTTGCCAAGACAGAGGGAAATCGAAAGCTTGCAATGGAATGTGAGTGGTGAAATGAATAGTAATGAAGACTAATGAACACATGTATAGATTGTCACCACGATGCTGCCAATACAGTTGGTGATAAATATATATTGCTAACGAGTATAGTCTGAGCTTGATAAATTTTCAAACAACCTCAGAGGGGTGGTTGCAATTTATAACATTGCCTGACTCCAGAGTGAGGAAGTGTTGACCTTTTTACTTAGTGCTTTAAAGTAGGCATGTAATTTCATTTTAGGTACGTTTCGCTAGATTCATGCGTTGACAGTTGGGTGGGTGGGGGGGGGGGGGGGGGGGGGATTTCGATAGACTTAACTCCACGAAGTGCACCCTGGGCAGCGTGCACTCATACATAAAAAATGTCCATAAACAGGCAGTTGACTTCAGATTTCTAACCACTAAGACCTTACACTATGTCATATTTCAGAACTCCACAGTACTCATCGTACCTTCTCTCTACCTTGGTGTCCGTATGTCTGTCGGACTGCCTCTCTTACATCTGTGAATCACTCTTCTGTCCGTCCTCTCCAATTTTTCCCACTTTGATGTTTCTCCCCTCTGTGAAGCCCGAAGTCAGAAAAGGGCTAACGATAATTATCAAAACACCTGCCTTTTGAAATAAATATAAAATAATATTTTAATTTGTTGACAGTGGTTGTTGATGACGGGGACTTATATGACTTCATCATTGGCCTATCCACATTACACTAAAATAGCAGTTGAAGAGAACGACGAATATCTACAGCCATATTCGGTCCTCTCAGATTTGGATACGGGTAAGAAGGACAGTTTTTGATAAGTTAATATCGATTAATCTATGCCATATCGCCATCAAGTGCAATTCGCCGCCAAAGACTTTGCTGTCATCCTTTTCCTGATTCGAAAACGTAAAGGACAGTTATGAATGAGTGTCGTTGATCAACTCAAATGAACTTGAAAAATTAGGAATGAGGTAGATATGAGTGCAAAATTGAGTTCCAAATTACTTGAATCAATCATCGACAATACTTTTGACATTGAGGTATTGAATCTGTCCACCCATTTAATTTTGGATTATTTAGCTTCCAAAAAGGCGAATGAGAGGGTTGTGTCATTACGAAAGGCAAAGACGTTGGCTACAACGACAGAGGAGGAAGTTAATAACAAAATCAAAATCGAAATTCGACCCACAAGCGCCTCATACTCCCCCCTTTGGTGATTGACAGAGAAATCCACCTTCTTCCGCTCTCTCTCTCTCCATATAACCACCAACCCTTCTGCCTTTCTCACATTATTTCACTGATGGCATCTTGTCTGGACAAGATGAAGTGTCTGCTTTGTTAACTGATGATAAATTTATTTAGAAAGCATTGCCCATCTCTCCTTTCGATTCAATTTGGAAAGAGATTGTTGTTGATAAGAATTTATAGTCTGGATGGTTTAACGCTGGGAGACTAATGTTGACCGTTTGGTATACTTAGAGTCTGCCCTGTTCGTGGAATGCGGTTTGTGAAATGGAATAGTCCCATCACAGGAACGAATCGTGGAGATGGGTGGAGCTCACATTATTAATTTTGCAGGAGACAGCCCTATATAGGTATTTGATTGAGTTATTGTAATTGTAAATTAGAAAAAAAATAATTTAATGAAAAGCTGTAAATGTTAGAATAGGAATAAAATTTTAATCAACTTAAACAACAATTGGTATTATATGCGAGTGATTAGGTCACTCAACATATGATAATTTCAAGAGATCACATGAAAAGTGTTACTTCTGCCACTGTGACTCTGGTTCAACGACCTTCTTTTATTATTATGAAAACTCATTTAACAACTTTTGAATGATGTAAATTATGATAGGCTTAGAAGAAACCACGTGCAACCTAACATCACATAACTCTGAAATGATGGAGTGTTGACCACTTGTCTTCGAGGATTGAAGGAAGTAAGCTATAGAACTTTAGGTATGCACCGTTTGAGCGTTTTGTTGTCAGTGGTTGGTAGTGATTGGAAATATTTTAATTCCATTATTGCTCGAATGCTCACCAATCCCCACAACACCAAAAATGACTGTTGATGAGATTGATAATGAGGCCAAGCAATCCATAACATGTAACTTCCTCTTCGAGTGCAACTGTTTGCCAATCCCATTGAAATCCTCTTTTCGCTCGTTTGACAACGTTAGGGACATATATGAATTAATTTGAGAGGTCCGACATGTGATTTTGAGATAGGGGAAAGTGTAATTAAGTGACCAAAACAGCACGAATCATTAGTCGACAATCATTTTGTTAATGAAGCTTCGAATTCTTCTAATTGCTTCAACTTTAATATTTTGTTACCTCGAAAGCAGATAAGTGAGTTGAGTTGAATCAATTGACAAAGTTTATGTCCTCAAATACAAAACCGAAGTTAAAATTGAGCCAAATACCTTCCTCTGATGATTGTCAGAGAAATCACCTTATTCCATGATTCCTTAATTCCACCTCCCTCTCCTCTTTTCTTATTCCCTTTCTCCAGTCCCATGTTGTCTGGATAACCTTAAGTGTCTGATTTTATTATTATTATTCAATAAACCCTAATTCACCTGACCTTTCGATTCCATTTTGGAAAGAGATTTATACTCATGAGCAACTATAGTCTGAATGATTTAACGCAAGCAGACTAATTGTGACCGTTTGTTATGCTTAATGTCTGCCTTAACCGTAATATATGATCTCCTAAATTGGAAGGTTCCATTAAAATTATTGCAATTGTAAGTTTGAAAAAAATATTGAATAGAAAGCTTTAAATTATAGGACAATAATTTTTGCTAAATTAAAGTTCATTTAACTAAAACAAAAAGTGGACTGATATGTGAGCGA